CAAGATTCAAGTCTTACTGAACATTGCAATATAGTGAGACTTTCTTAGCGGCACTGTTTTGAAAACGATTTGCTACATTTTGCAACAATCTCACTTTTCTAGGCAACACTCGATTATTGACAAATTATGTTTTGTCTCGATACGTATTATGGCTGAGTGGTTGTCTGTTTTCACATTGTAACATTATTTTTACTACACAACCTCGAAGCTCTTGGATGCTAGCCCTGCATACAGTGCTGTGTGTACGGGGGCGCGTTTGGTTGATAGACGACCCGTATGCAGGACTACCTAGAACCATGATACGATACAATATAGCACAACAATGAGAAATGATGCTTTTTTTACATGAGGTAAATAATTTCTGCGTAACTACGGGAGTCTCGCCACACTTGCACAAACTTGTCCTGTCCTTGTCCTTCGACAATGTCGGCGTATTCGTAGGACTTTCACCCCCATGGATCGAATGGTATTGTCCTATTGTTAAACGCTAACCAAAATTAGTAAACAACATGGCGGACTTGACTCTCCGGAATGCCCGGGCGTCGATCATAAAAAGTGTGGATAGCTGCTCGAATTCGCCACTCTGGTTCAAATTTTGAGCATAAACGAATATTATACAGTACAAGGATTGCTGCCGCTGCTCCTCGCGTTAGGTATTCCCCCCTGTTCGCTTCCGCACATGCCCGGACACTACCTCTCGTGTCCACGCTTTAAGTAGTAGGACCCCCCGAAAGTCACACTTGTTTGAGAATATAATTGGCCTTCCCATTGAGTCTGTGGCACACTCACCCAGGGGTCGGGGTTGACGCTTTTTGGTGTTCGGCCTAATGTTGGATTATATTTGAACTTGGGTGTACCGATCATAAGTCTGATGCAACAACCACTATGCTACCAGTGTTTGCTTTGGTTGTTTTCTTAACACACTGCCTACTCAAAACCCCCAGAGATGGGCAAAATGGATGGGAAAACCAGCATCAGCTGGCAGTGTGGCATATGTGACATGTACTGTAATGAACTATTAAATGCAATGAGCAAACTGTCAATCCCTGGCACTGCTGACTGACATAGTGTTGTGTTTAATATTGCAAGACTGGTAAAGAAAAATGGAAAACATTCATACAACGTACAATACTCCAAACAAATAATTTTAATAAACAAACTAACCTTTCTAAATTCTCCCCATATTTCACTGTTCCAAATAAGACCACTCCAGCAAATGCATAACATGTCATCATTAGAAACAGTCCAGCTATAACGAAGAAACTTTTAAACACAGATACAACTATAGTCAACATCAGCATCTTTAAAGTCGGCTGAAAAATGAAAAGAAAATTATATCAGCATATTATTAAAGTTTGTCATTTGAAATACTTACATCCAAAACCGGACTGATAAAAAATGAACATCCTCAGGTATTATAATGCTGCCTTTAATGTTTATTCAATTTTCTGTGCAAACGTTCAGATAAGATTCGCTATGCACACGCTTTAAGGTAGAATGCTAAGTGTGCATATATGCATGTGCATATTGCAGTAGCGATATTTTGGGTTTAAATCTGTCTATGTTTATTCACTTTAGTATTAGTCAATAGTATGTGAACTTTTTTGGTTCACTGTCAATCTGATTTTTGAAAAAAACAGTAAAATAATACGCATAAAATACAATTTTAGCAGTGGTTTCCATAGACCGCAATGAAAAGACATTTTATCATTAAAAACCCACTAAAATTATAACTGTGAATTTGTTAATACTTTTTGTAAGACACTATTATATCTTTTTTTCATACATGTCAACGAGCAAAATTTAGAGATAGTGAGATAAATAATTGCCATAGGAAACAATGATAAAATAACCTAAAACACTGTTACAGTATATCACTGATTAATTTTATCTGAAAAGTGAAGTCAAGTGACCTCATATTTTTATTTTATTTTTTTAATACTTTTAACATGATGTATCAAATATGTAAAAAGCAGCCTCTCGGCTGAGATGGCTCCGCTGTTAGCAATGCACATTTCAATTAAAGAACAGAAGATATCATTAGAAAATGAACAATATTCAAAATTCAAAAATATCATTTTTCACCATAAATGATTGTGGTTTTTAACAAGAAGAAAATATCACTTTTTACCAAAAATGACAAAAATATTCACCAAAATTAGAGAATTAAAGAACATAGTTGAACTCTGGTGACCTTGCCCTTTATTATATAATATAATTCCCTTTATCATAGTTTGTTTCAATATAAATATGCATTGTCATAATTAATTTTGAATACAAACAAGTTTTGGGGTTGAACCAACAGTGGGGAATCAGTCTACCGAATGTCCTTAAAAGATGTAAATATCTTACAAAAACATTGGTGCCTTATTTGTTTAATTATTTTAAGGGACATAATTTCCAGCTTTCTTCAAAGTAATTCAGATATTTTAGTATAAAAACAAATGTCTCATTGAAAAAAAAAAGTGCTGCATTTAGATGTGAATAGATTCATAAAACATGCAAGATAACAGAAAATTTTAGCTGGCTTTAGTCCAAGTATTTTGTACAGGTGTCTGTCAAAAATTAATGATTCACTGAGACAAATATGAACTGCCTCATTGTGTGACTACTGTATTATATGAAAAGTAAAAAAAAAACACCCTTTATGAATAGCTATCATGTTGCAAGCTCTGCTTTGTATGCAAATCAACTTAAATAGTTGGTGTCCAGTGGAGGGAGAAGTCAACAGTACGTTGCCTCCTGAGAATCTGCATCTTCAAACACTGCAATCTTCAAAGTTTTTAAACTAGTATTATAAAAACTCTATCATTCTGTTCTAATAGCTGAAACATATTCCTGTGAGTTTTCATTTGTCGAATGAACTGTTTGTCAAATACAGAATGCATATATTTTAGAACAATTTTCTTTTTAAAATGTGGATGAAATGTTTTGCTTTTTATGTATTTTTTATGTATTGTTTTTGATTTGATAACTTTGAACTAAACAGATTTTCTATTAGCTTCAGATCTTGATCAAAGTTTGGCACCCAGTTCATAGCAGTGCTTATATTGTTTTTCTGACATCTTGTTTTCTGTAAAGATTTTATTGGTAAGTTTGCAAATGTGTATCAGATTGTGCAATCTCTCCATGAGTTTGTTTTGAAACCCAGTATGATTTTCTGGGATACATTACCAAGGATATTATTACAAGATAAATCAATTGTTTCATTGAACACATACAACAATGCATATTTCCACTGAGATCAGTGACTTTTGATGTGTATCATCAGTGATCAGTCAAGTAGAAACAGTCAAAATATTTTATCAGATTTTCTCAATTTTTGCATGATGTTTTCATACAGGACATCTGTTGTTCAAACTCAAGGAAGACTTTATACTGATCAATAGAATTAGTAAAGTTATTATGCACACATTAAAAATTATTAACGACGGCGA